CAAAAAATGCACTTCCGAGCCCGGAATTTGTCAGACGTATGTCAGTAGATTTCTCATAATTCGGTTCATGAAGTGTTAACGCCAGTGTTAACGTCAGCGCTGATCACACAAGTATATCGTCAAAATCTGTTTCTCTTAAGAGTCTGAGCCAATGATGTAAAGAGAGCTATTGGTCAGCGTTCTCATTGTTTTTGCGTCTGTCAATTTAATGCTAAAAGCACATCAGTATAAGGTTTTGTAGCCAATGCTTCTCAACCTACGTCTTTAGAAAATAAAAAGACGCTGATTAATATCAGCGAGCCCGCAATATGCCATGAATATTGGTCAGAGGATTTTTGGTGCAACAGCTGTCACTCTAACATCTCAATGTGGATGTCTGCCATAACAACAGTGCACTAGCGCAGGGGGGTCATAAAAATGCTACAGAGCTTAAGGGAGGATCAGGCGAATCTTATTATGACAGAACCAAAATCCTCCACCAACCCTCTCCCTCCCCTCCCCCCGATTATAAAATAACGGTCAGTGCTGAATAGCTTGTACGGCCCCTCTTAAACAATTTGCACTCTACACGTTAATGCGCACAGCACAACAAAAACGAGAGTTATTCAATTGTCATAGACAAGACTTGTCTTAAACATGTCAGTTAAATATTTATTCTCTTTGCACTTATTCACATATTTTAGCATAATGCCGTCCAGTTATAAGCTGTACTTTTACACAATATTTTTAAAGTACTACAGAAGTCGGCCAAGTAAATGAGCATATAGTCAGGTCTTAGGTTCTTGAACAAAGTAAGTAGTGGGGTGGTTATTGTTATTGTTAGTACAGACAGAATATCACTTACTAATGTCGACGCAAGACCACCTCGCGTACCCGCTTGCAAGCGCTCTTTAACATTTACCTAGTACATCTTATGCAGTTATTTGTGGTCTATCGAAAGAACACTACGATTTGACCTAAACCCTGATAACGAAGACCAACGTGCCATTGGAAGATGTTATCTACACTTTCTCGAGTCTCCTAGTCACTTTCTTAAATTCCCATTTTCTTGCTATTGCTTGTGCAGTACTTCTCGAGGGTAGTCGGTCTTTCATAACTAAAATGCTTCTTTCTCGTCGCTAGATTTTTAATGAATTGATAACTACGCGCTAAAGATGACATCAGCTCATGCCGCACAGTTTGGGCAATTCGTGGAGCATGATACACTATTTCAATTAGGTAAGTAAAATTAATTTCCATCGAAACAACAGTCTGACAACATTTTTCTTAGGTTATAATGATGTAGTAAAACAACTGCGATTTCTTCGTGACTCCAAGTGAGGGAAACCTGCAGAGCACTAAAAGTGAATCTGTGGTGTTTCTCATTCAGTTAAAGCAATATCGCTCATTTGTGTTGTTTATCCGGTTCATATGTGTTTCCTGATGTTTGATAAAAAGCGTAAAAAGTCTGTATATCTTACAGCGTTCCTCCATGATTATGATACAACCCTTTCATTCTCAGTCTTACTGGCGCCGAACCACCTGTAGGGAAAGGGAGCCGTCTGTCCCCGCTCTTCTCGTACAGGACCTGCTTTACAACGTCTAGGGGATAGTCCGTCTAGTCATCATAGTTATATTTGATATTGAGTGATAAACATACAAATTCGCGATATACAGCTTTACTGAATGGCTGCCTTTTATCTTGGATCTCGCCTCCTGGAGTGCAACCCTTCAACAGAGAGACGACCTGCAGAAATTTCGAACACAAATGAAACGATAGATCCTTGAGGCTTAATATTGATTATCAGATCACCAGAGAGAATGAAAGTGATGAAAAAAGGTAACCCAGCAAAAAGAATATTAAAGTAATTAAGAATATCTCAGAAAAAAATGAGATCATTGGAAAACGTAGCAGGATGTTTTTCTTGGTTCGATTTTAAAGAAAGTTCGTTGTTCTTATAACAGCGGCATCCATCGTAGAGGTTTTGTTTTTACTCCCCCAACAAGTTTTGTCCAAGCTACCAGCTACGCACGTTTCCCTCCAAAGGAAAAGAGGCAAAGGGAATTTAAGTGAAACGCCCCTCCCACTCGTGTTTTAAATACCTTTGATTGTTCCGTTTGTTGAAACTCGATGTAAATGTACGCTCCACTCTATACTAAATGTTTCAGGAGTTCCTCAAATAATTATATATTCACAAGATGGGAGAGTTACGGACATAATATTTCGCACCATTCTATTTGCTATGAAGTGACTAGAATTGGCATAAAAGATGCCCTGTTTTCGGTCAAGGCAGATGGAAAATAAAATTAATGTGCAACTTACTTGCTCTCGCCTTGCAGATGTATTTGAAGCGTGTGGTGCACGGGTAGTCATTCCATTTTCCGTCGGACTTCAAGACAGCACAGTCCTCGTCTTTTTTTCTGGACAGACCCCCATTGTTTGGATCACCCGTCGCCCAGTTTTTATAACTTTGATGAGTTCTAAGGGAAAGAAATAGTGCCTGAACTTGAATTGCCGAGTGAATAATCAATACTAATACCATTTTACCCTTGAGCAATGACTTGAAGGTCGACATCGCCTTTTATCATATAAACTACGGTGTTATACAAGGATTTCCAGTCCTGAGAAAAGCCGTAACAACACACTTGAAAAAATATCGTATTTTTCACGTGTCCTTCACCATTCTCAATCCAAGGTCGCTTGTCGAAATTTTTCGGATTATGGCCGCAAAAACGTTGAAAAAAATTTGTTTCGCTCACAGACAGCGACAGCGTTTATTGAAAATCACGCCCATCGCCCATATATATATATATATATATATATATATATATATTATGTACATATATATTTATCCAACCATAAACTATATTGACCAATTTCCATTAAGCAGTAAACAAGAAGGACAATACACATGGTCAAACTCCTTACAGCTTTTTCTACCCAATCCCCCTCTTTTTTGTGTGTAGCTCTTGTGTTCACGCAGAGTTGTAATTACCTGTCGCTCCACGCCCATTGTCCTTCCCTTTGTATATCATTGTAGCCAATCCACATGAATGACTCAGCCAGCAGATGTTTTGTGACAAATTCTTGTTCTTTGGCGTTACTGATGCTCAGCAGGTCAGAGCGAGATCTTATGCAATCATTTCTTGCCATGTACCACGTGTGCGTGTTGTGTCTGACCAGGTAACAGTACACCATGTCTGTTCCGTTCATTAGGTGGGAAACCCACCCACGGGGACATAGCGCTAGAGAAAAATCAATCAAAATAGGTTGTAAAGCCGCGTGAGATGAAAAAAGAGAGAAAATTTTGAATTCAGTCTTGGAATAGACCAAGTTGAATATTTGTTGCAGGTAGGGGACGAAGAAAAATATGTTACCCGTCGGAAGGGCTCGAACCACAGATCCTTCGATCATGCAATCGCATGCTTTGCCCACTGAACTTCAGAGAAATTTGCTTCTTTTGGTTTTGTACGATTCAGTTGGTGAAAAATACAATTGCGTGGATAGAAAATTTTAAGACTCAAACCGTCACAAGGGACTCGGATCTCTTATCAACATCCTTTATCATGAAAAAACTCACTTATTTGATGTCACCTGCAGATTATACAACATAGGTACTTACGTTTGGTGGTTGGCTCCAGTGTAACGACGGGTTTTCGGAGACTCCTCCATGTAAGAACAAATCCTTTCCTCTCGCGGGAACCGTCGGAATGCAGACGGATGCGAGCGTGGTTGGACATTGTTTGGAACTTTTCATCAACTGAAATGAAAGGAAAAAACGGTCAAACTACGAAAATCCAAATGGCCAGTGCAGTGCTCTTTTTCTCAGTATTTCGTCATCATTCTTGGAATTTGTTCATGTTAATTTAGTGGTGTGGATGGTACCGTCGGAGACGACAAAGCACTTTAAAAATCAAACTTATTTAAAAAGATAAATTGAAACTGAGACTTTCCTGAGAAATTTGATATTTTATGCCTTCAAAATAAGTGACGCAACGAGAAAGGAGACTTTGAACGAGCAGTCAAGTTTAAGTGTAAAACCACTCAGCCTATCAGTTTTATTTGGTCTGATGTATCGAGGAGCAAGAAGAAATTACCTGATTGTCCACAATGTCTTCCTAATGATGGTGAATTCCTTGAGTTACCATCACGTACTTCGACATAATCGTATCGGCAACCTCTACCGACTTTATGTATGTCAAATATTTTGAATTTCAGCTCAATGTAGTGGCCACGTGGCGCCGTAATTACCCAGATACAGTCCGCATTAGGAGGATAGCTGCCTGGATACCCGGGACTGGTCAATGTCCCAGTAGACTCCGTTAGCTGCCGGCCACACTCTGTAAATATCAAGTGAATGAGCTTCGTAAGAACAAGCTAACTCTAGGTATATAGACCATGCTTGGGCCTGTTGTATCTGAAAATGTTGTTGATGGTTCCAAATACCCAGGGTCAGACAACAGTGTCTTGGTTTTCACCGATCACTCTAATCATTTTTGATAATGGTGATGATGTCGTTGATTATTTTGATGTTAAATAATGCTCATGATAATAAGTAATTATATAGTACTAATAGCCTCACCATTTGCAGTTTCCTTAACTTCCACCTTCTTCGCTTCCCATTTGGCATTAAACCCATAGTAACCACGCTGTACATTTGAGTGGAATTTAACCAGCATGACGTTGGAACTTGAACGAAGAACAGCCGGGAGTTTGGAGCCACAGAACTTGCCGATGCGACGGGACGAGACAGTTTGGCCATCGTACACTGAGACGGAATCATCGCATAATGGATAAGAGCCTGTTGATCGATAGGATAACAAAAGGTAAGTTTTAAGTTGCATTCAAACTATATCGAGGAACGAACGCTTTCCTCGCTGCTCTAGAACTGTTATTCATTTGAGCAATCGCAGACAGGGTTGTACGCAAAATTAACGGCTAAGGAAATTCACTTTTGAGAAGTGATGTTATACCAACGTTTCCCAAATCCACTCCAGATATAAAAAAAAAACAGCAGTACGATTCAAGGACAAAGTTGTCGAAGGGTTCTGCCTCCAAATTTTGACCGAAGGGAAGGGTACATGCTTCAGAGGAACGTTTATTCAAGCGATACCTTAATTTAAAGGAAAACGCTTGCTTTAAGATATTAAGTATCGTTTATGACGATCTGTACATACTAGGCACACAGTTTAATGTTTCTTGATAAACGTTTTTGAAAAATATTGTGCAATATCAACTTAAAAAATGGCCACAGTATCCTCAAAATGTCGGAATGGTTTAACCCCCGAAAAGGAAACATGAAGTCAGACTCACCATAAACATTAAAGAAGAGGAACTTAAATTCAATTCTTTGTCCATCTGGTACACGAATAACCCACTCGCAATTCATTTTTCCTGGATAAGGCTTCGGATAGTTAGGTGAATTAAATCTTCCGCTGACCGCTTGGAATTCGTGACCACAAGCTGTTAGTGAAAACAACAGTCATCATCTTAAAATATGTCATATGTTAAAAAAAAAGCAGAGGTACAGCAAAGAGATATGATTTATGCAACATTTGAAAGGATCAATTTTTTTTAAACGCATTCATGGACGTAATGTTCTTTGCAGCCCAATCCGTCGTGTAGCTTTACAGGATACGCATTCAGACTCAACGAAAGAGAGGACGAGACGCGAGAGTTTGGGGGTAGCTTTGTTTTGGAATCACCGGTGTGGTGGATTTAGTGCAATATGACAGTGTCTATCAGGAGTATTGGTATTTAGGCTTTCAAGGTCATATCGACTTCTCAGATACATACCGGACGGGCATTTCTGCTCATTGCATAACCTCTCATCCAACGCTTTTCCCTGGCAAGTGCGTCCATTTCTACTGGGTTTTGGATTGTCGCACTGCCGTACTCTGTGCTGTTTACCACTACCGCAGCTTTTACTGCAAGTGTTCCATGAAGTCCATGACGACCAACCACCATTAATGATCACCACCGGAGTTACTGCAATCATATCAATGGAATATCCACACAATGTGAGTTTTTTCTTTTGTGCGCCACAAATGTTCCAAATTTAGACAAGATGGAAATGCAGTTTAATGAATGTTGTCCTTTTTTTTGGTTCTTTCAGGAGGAAAGGGCGTGTATGAACCTCTGCTAAACTTCAGAATGAGCCAATTTCTTCCCACAGTGTTTAATAGGTATCAATAACACCATTGTAGTGTATGCAATTATATGGCATGATAAGTTTACATGAGGGACACATATTTTCCGTACTTGCTTAATTTACCTGGAGACTTGAAGCGATCCTCAGCACATAAATAAGTTTTGTCCCAACCATCTCTTCCGTTCTTCGCATACCATCTCATACAAGGTAAGCCTGCAATGCGGTTCGAATACGACCACACAAATCTAGACGACCAAAGATTCATGTTAGTCTATGGGACGTTTATAATTAGAAGGACTTTAGATATTACTGATACTCGATATGTCTCTCAGGTTCATCCTCTCAAAAGCATTCAGCTTTCCATCAAAGTTTCCCTATTGGTTGTCTCTCCGACAGGAACTACAATTTTGACATCAAAATCGCTGTTCCTTGTACATAATTACAAAAGAAACATTTGTGTCGTGATTCCGTATTCTTGAAATTAGCTTTCTTCTTTCTTCTTTCTTCTTTCTTCTTTCTTCTTTCTTCTTTCTTCTTCTGTTTCTTGGGATCAGTAGAAATATGACACCACATAAACTGCGTCAATTCCACGGAATGTTTTTTGCTTTTGTTAAAAAACACCAGAATCCGAGGAGGTCATCCTCTCTAGCTCTGTTGTTAGCACCAGAAGCAAACGTGTTGGTTGTTTTATGAGGGTATGATACTTTTTTTATAAAAGCAATTTATGAAAAGAAAATCATTTTGTATTTTTTTTCATCTACCTGTAAATCTTATTGAGGGTGGAGGCAGTGAACAATCGAAGCATAGCTAGTTTTTCAACAATTCTTAGCCACGTTGAATTCAATTTCTTTGTAAAGAAAATGCTTGTCAACCAACCACTCTTCTACATTTTGTTACTTTTATTTTACTTCCTGATATGTGAAACTAACCGTGAAATTGTTGCCTTAAACCACTTCGACCCTCGCTAGCTCACCTGTAGGGAAACCCGCCGTCTGTTGAGATACACAGGTAGTTATTGTCCCAACGACCTCTTTTAGTACCTTGTGAATCCTCAGGAACAAGGATTCGTGTACACTCCCTGTTATTAACTTCTCCTTGGTCTGACCAGCGCATTTCTGGTTGCCTCTTATCCGCCGCCGAACACAGTAGGTAATCCTTAAAGGTGAAATAATCCAATCGCTCAAATATTCTTACGCATGTTTCATTTGGGCCTGCTCTTGGTTTTCGACCAAAGCTGAAGTCTTCCGGGAATTTTGGCCATTCTGTAAAGAACGATGATCGGATGACCAATGGTTTAGAATAACGAAGAATACCTATGACATGCTGCATAGACCTCTTTTACAATTGCTGGGCTAGTTTGTACTCTCTTAAATGCATGTGGCTCTTCAAATACCTTGAACGTACACGAGAAGAAAGAATTATCACAGAAGCAGGCCAATGTGCAATGACGTTAAAGAACAATAACCATGCCAGCGTTAAACCAAACGAAGTCTTTGTCTTACTCTGTTCTTGAACAGGAAAATAATACCACATGTACTTATGTGGAATTGGACTACACCAAAAGTCAGCCAAACTCGTGAGCTAGGGGGTTTATAAGGTAGGAGGGCTGGTACAGACAATTGAAAACTTTCTATGTTACAATACACACTCCCAAAGTGTATGGGAACTTTTAATGCTTCAAACATACCTGCACACTCCTGTGTGTTACACATCCTTGTATCCGAGGCCTTACCCACGCAGTATTGACCCCCGGAGGACGGTTGAGGATTGGTACAGGAGCGAAGGCGACTCTGAACTCCTCCTCCACACTTACGTGTGCATGTTGTCCAGGGCGTCCACCGGGTCCAGTTGCCATCTGGGAACAATTTTAAAATAAAATTAAGGAACATGTAAGATGGAACAACTATAAGAATAATTATTTTCTTGTTGTTATTGCAATTTTTGTACAGAGAGCTGGCAGAGATGGTGTAGTATAAATGCACCCTCATGGAGGAGATTTTATTACCGAGTTCAATTCCAGGACGTAGCGTCATATATGGGTTAGGTTTGCTGTTGGTTTTTTTGTGCCGTTTCCCAAGTTCTACTGTTTTCCAAGCCTCTCTCTACAAGTACCAACTTTCCAAATGGATGATGATGTAGTTGGACGGTGAAACCACTTCGAGGATGTGCCTCGGTTTAACTCCCTGATTATATTTGTATTTTTGTATTACTTCACAATTAACTTAAAACTGACGCGAGCGTTTTCGCTCTCTCTCATTTCACACTGGTAAGAAACTAAAATTTACTTTCATACACGAAAGGTAAGGCGAGATAACCTTTCTGCCGAATAAGTTTTCAATCACAGCGTTTACTTAGATTGCACTTGCCGGCAAAAAAAGCAAACACACGCACACGCACATACACACACGTGCACATTGAAATAGCTAAAGCCTTAATCTGTTGCAGACCAAAACGCTTCCTCTGACGATTGAGGAACGGAAAAGGGAAACAAAAAAAACACGAATAAAAGGTAACAATAATTTTAAAAAAAAACCTACCGATGGGTTTTCGATCTTTTGTAGCACACAGGAAATATCTGTTGCGTCCCCAAGTCGGATCACGTGGTTCACTCCATTCCAAACAATTGGCTCTTTCCTCAGCAGTTGGCGCATGCGTTAACCACTTGAATTTGTAAATTCCGTCATGTGGCCAACAGAGATAAGATCTGTCCCAGATCTCATAGTAGGATTTCGTTGGTGTGCGAATTTGGAGGCACTTTTTGCCAGGTACGGGTCCTCTGGTTGAAAAACTAACACCAGACACAATTGAAAAATAAAATAACGTGAGACGAGGCAGTCATCCTGTTTGGTAAGTCTGATTGGTTTAGTTTGGCTTCCGAAACTTAAGATACACAATGCACGTGTTGAGGATTTCTTCAAAGTGAAAAAGGAGCATTTTAGAGTTGGTTTTTTATGTCAGATAGATTGGTATGGTTGCCCATGTAAACGAACCTTTATAGGGACAACACGAAGAAGTGAGAGACAAGAGCTTTTACAATGTACCCAAAAAAAGAACTGGAAACAAAATATTTTTTATCTACAATTATGACTCCAGTTAAACTAAGAAGGTTAAACGTTGGGAACGAATAAGAACAAGCTTCAAAATCTGTTCAAACTCGTGCAAAGGCCTCTTCCAGATAAATATACAGAGATAGATGAAATTTAATAAAAAAAGCCCGTACTAGTTCAATGGCCTTAAAATTAGAATCAGTGCTCTGCAATGAAATTACAACTAAGTTATTGTTCAATTCCTCTAATTTCAATGGTCTCTAAGTACGGTTTCCGTAACAGTTGTATAGGTTTGCACTTATTCCCATTGCGCATCTTTGATGCACATTCGATTCCACGCTAAGGCATGCCTTGTCATATATTGAGCTCGCGCAAAGAATCAAAAACTCAACAAATTAGAATGCAGATGGTTAAAGGGGGTAAGTTTCTGAAGAAACTATGGTGTTGCGTCGGTTGGAGAGTATAAAAGGGTAATTTAGAGTTAATAACGTAAATTGGCCACGTTAAAGGGTTTAAATGTTAACGTTTTGAGCGTTAGCCCTTCTTAAGAGCGATTGGTGAAGCTCTGACGGAGGGCTAACACTTACGGTGGCCAATTTACATTATCATCTTAGTTGATAGTACTAAATTACCCTTTAATGCAGATGGTTGCTGCATTTTACGCGGTGTGACCATATTGCCTTTGTATGTAGGGTGATCCCCACATTTTAAGGAAGATCACATCCTTTTCTTCTTCAAAGGACTAATTAAGGCGGTTTAATTTCAAAGCGGTGGCTGCTGTTACCTGAGCGAGAGAGATTTCTTGTCCTTTCTGTAGCACATATAGTTGTCTCTCCAACTAGCTGATCTATGGTGAGTTATTCGAATACATCTCGCATAAATACTGTAAGTCGCGTTCTTCCTCATCTGCCCATTGCTACTCCAAACAAAATCTTGCGGGAACTTTGGATAATCTAAGAATGAAAAGTTGAATGACACGAAAAAGTTGAATGACACGAAAGACTGACTTTTAAGAGCTGTGGAAATCGATCCTGAGTCAATTCACAGACAGTTCTTAATTTTATCATCTGAATATAGGAGACCATGAGAGGGTATTGCATTTTAAGCTATTTTCAGAGTGCGTTCCATAAAAAATAGTGATGGTACGAACCTGGACACCTGTACAGGAGGTTTACTTGCTGGATGTCCAGTATACTCAAGTTAGTATTGCCAAACGTTTTAATGGACCGTTGTCGTGCCACAATGGTCGGTAAACCGTTTTTAGAGAAGGCTTTCGCGCCGTAGTGCATGACAGACTTATAATCGTACTCCACACCGAGACTGTCAATCCTCCGTGAACTGTATTTGTGAAACGCGTACTTGAACTCTGCAAAATGAGAGAAGCAGATAAATTCGTCTGGGAACAAACGTTGTATATTAAAACAGAACATCATACATTTGGGTACCAATATTGTCGGAATCATGGACCAGTCGATTGGGAGATTTCCCAGACCTCAGGTCTGGGACACAAGGATTTGTGTGTCAAATATCACCCTTGTCCAATCGTAACTTACAACCAACTGATTGAGAGATTGATAGACTAATCGATTGCTTGATTGAAGAGTTCAAGACGCTGATGAGAGGTAATGCACGCGAAAATGTACGGTGCGATAAGGTTGACCAAATCAGGTAAGGAATAACATCAGTCCTACCCAACATCCATCAATGAATCCCTCTGTTAAACAATTGAACAATAATCCCATCGATTAATGAAACATAACTACGTAGCTCGTCGTGAGGATCTAATAGTGCAGAACTTGCTTAAGTGAATTAATGTGTTTTCTATTTACAATTTAAAACTCACTGGGTATTATGTTTTCCTCCTTGATATCAATATAGTTATCTCTATCGGGGCGATTCTGTTCGTGCCAAAAACCAACCAAATGCCCCAGTTCATGGACCACAATACCATGGTGCGCGCATCCTCGTCCAAGGGAAGTGGTTTGTCTACCACCAATTCGGCCAACATCAGAGTTACAACTTCAATGGAAGAGTAAAAAAGGGTTCAAACCAATAAAGCAATGTGCTATCAAAGCATTGGGCGACGTCAGTTAACTTATACTTTTTGCAGCTAAGATATTATACAGTCTAACCTCTGCCTAACGGCTACCATGGGAGGGAGGGGGGGGGGGAGGGACGAGAAAAGTGCACATATTGAAATAGAGGAAAAAAGCTCCATAATCAAAAAATATTATCGTACGGATACTTACCCTTCACCGTAATAAAATTCCACGTAATCCACCTGATTCTCCCTTTCTACGAATTTGATACAGGTAAGTTTTTCGTATTCTGCCATGGCATCTTTTAGAAGTTGGCGAATTTTGCTGTTTCCAGCTGAAATAAAAAAGGGGAATTACGGATGATTACCGACTCGTCAGCTTCTTCCATATGAAAGATATTATAAGAAACTTGGAAAACTTACGAATGCTGTATGCTATTGTATACGGTATGATTCCCTTTGGCCATAGGTTTGACCTGTCTCTTATGGGAGCCGAGCCATCAACTCCCTTTCTTCCTACATTTCTCCTTGGCAGTTTCATATCCACCTGCCACTCGCTGCCTTCTTGATATTTAGCTGCAAAACACCAATGATGATAAATGTGATTTATTGATACAATCGAACCTGTATCAAGCAGAGAATAACGGGGTGATTCCTTAATACGGGTTCCACAGACTAGGCGTATTTTAGAAAACGATAAACAACACCACTTTATGCCACAATTGACCACTCAAGGAGTCACCCTAGGGTTTTCTGACCGAGCGAAATCTGGGTGCGAGCATAGCGCGAGCTTTTAAAGTGTAAAAATGCAAAACAAAGATGGCGGTGTGTTTAAAAACAGTTTAACATAATACAGTTTTTATGTGGTGGAATCTAAGGTTTCTAGCAACCGCACCCGTAATATTCATAGGCCTTCTACGCCTGAAAAAGAGGTCAACTGAAGAGAAAACACCGTGGGAAAGATTGCCAAAAGGCGACAGATTCGAAAGTTTACGCATGCTGTGATAGAGATCTTGGCGAAGTTCTATACCATTACGTAATGTTTTGTGACAAAGAAAATTGGAATCTTTCGAGCAAGCTATATGGCGTTTCCTTCGGTGGAATTTCCTAAGATTTTCTGGACCATCAAACATATTTGTGCCCTTCCTAGTGCCTTTAGATAGACAATATTCATAAGACCCAAATTTGAGAATGAGCGAGAAAACATAAAAATTACAAATAGCGAGGAAATTGCCTCTGTAACCCCTATGCTTTCGGCTTTTAAATGGTTGGCAAGACAAATTCCACAAATTGCGAACATTTTGAGAGATTTCACTGGAGCAAATTGAAGAAACTTTAAGGGAAAGCCAAATTATCGCTGGCGAACGCCTCCCTTCGTGGAGAATTAGCTTAATAACGAAAATCATATTGATAATATTTACGACAGCAAATGATAGCCCGAACATCGCTCATCGCCCTTTTAATGGCTTTTAGTGACCTAGAAAAGCGAAAACATAAAAATTTTCAAGGTAACCAATTAAAACCCTATGAAGCCTCCTTAATGAGCAGAATCTCGCTCAAAAATGTTACTTTGATTTTGGAAAGAATCCTGGATAAAAAATTACTTGAAAGATTATTCCTAGTTCTATTTGCGTGGTTCTACTTTGACCGTTTAGTGGAGATAAAAGAGAATAAAAACAGGTCGCTGGGACTCAGTAAAGGGTGACCGTGACCGCTTAATACAGGGTGACCGATTAATACGGTGCTGCTAAATACAGGTTCGACTGTGATGAGTAATTTGTTGCTCCTCTCATTTCAAGTGCAGGGGATGAGGAATATTTCCCAATCTATAAGCGGAGGACACAGATCCAATCGAAATTGCTTTTCGCGGTCAATTAAAGACAATATTTCTCCTGCTGTTGGTCAAGAAGTGATTTGGTTCCTCTTAACTGTTGTTAATTTAAATCTGCTAGAATTCTCACACAGCTGTTTTAGTCTGATCGACTACACTGCTCGTGAGTAGCCAACATACATGCATGACGCTATCGACATTGCTGATCCTAACAGTATGCAGGACGGGTGTCATGAACTTCGTAATATAATACGTTCACCGTAGAGTCTCTGTAGCTCAGTGGTAGAACATCGGAGCGCGGAATCGATTCCTCATGGGGACTCAGAACTTTTTCTTTGTCCCACGCTCGTGACAAGACGAAACATATCTTTCACTATTTCATTATTCTGTTTTGTTGCTTAGTTTTGAACGACGCGTAGATCAGCCCTAAACGACAGATTATGCGCTTTCGACTTTTACGCGTGATGACTGATTTGGGCTTTGCCACTGGATAGAAATCTCTAGCTCATTATCCAATTGAGTTTAACACGGAACGAAGATAAGGCAATTAACTCTGAGAACAAAGAGACCGACCATGCTTGTTGGTCTCATAGAAGAGCTCTAAACGGAACTATATATTGACAAGCGCGGAAAAACATAGACACGATGATGGCGTCACGATCTCTTGCAGAAATTACTTACGGGTTTGTTGGGAAAACCTGCAAACGTGAGACCTACGCGGCAAAAAGCAGCAAAACCCCAGAGGGTTTTGATGTCTTCAGCTTTAAGTTCTGCTTGTGGCTGAACCGAAAAGACAGAAAAGCTAATAAAGTGAGTTAATAAAATCATTTTTTTATTTTGCCGACTAACCATTCGAGGAAATGAAATGTCCAAGCAAAAGGGTACCCAGGGAATGTTTGCAGTTAACACGGTGAAGCATCAATAAACGTCGATTGACAAAATGAACTAACATTTCCTGCAAACGTCGCGGGTGGCTCATGATGTTAATCGTTTCGAATGCCGCCAGAACTCTCCTTTGGTACAACAAGTGAGGATAGTGGCGTTGGATTCCAAATAGAAAAGTAGACAAAATGCCTTCGAGAATCTTCGGACAATTTTTCTGCTCAATTAATATTTTGTTTTGTCATACCCTTATCGCTGTCGCGTTTTATTATATTTATTGATCGGATTTGGAGGAGATAACAGAACAGAGAAAGAAAGGCAGCCAACGGAAAAACGGACACTGAGTTGAAGAAAGCAGTGTTAAAACGATGTGGACAACAGCCAAAAGGGTCATCACTTTCGGTAATTAATTTAAACCATAGTATTCGATTGGATTATTGTGTTGATAAGACGCGTTGAAACATATATCACTGATCACTCAAACGTCACTTTACAACAAACAAATTGAGAGCAGGTTTGTTTTTGTTCACGAACGGCTGTTTTCTTATGATAACTACTTTACTCTTATGATAACTCACTTTTCTTATGATAACTAGTCAAATTTTACTTATGTATTAAAAGTTATTTGATTATCTTTTAACTGGAACAGCTACCAAACTTTCCTGTTATCGCAAATCTACAACAACAACAAACAAAATCTCTTTTCTCTTATCAGCTTATCAGGTCATGGGTTAGGTTCTAGTCATTTCTGGACCAGATTCAAAACTCCTGCAACTAAAATTTGTTTTAGCTATCAAAATGTGACCTTGAAAGCAGTATGAAATTCCTTAATGTTTCTACATCTCAACAGTCTCAAATCAGTCGCGTTTTGGCGTTTTTGTTCGAATTTCCAGATTGTTCTTCCCCACAAATCCCCTCACGTCCAATTCCAACCTTAAGACATCGCACAAGGAGCTGTTTTGTGGACGTGCTACTTAAAAATCCAATTTGTCCGATCATTAGAATTATCTTTGCAACACACCAGTGTCAAATGTTCCTGCGAAGTGTTACAATTTTATGTCCAATTGACTGCCGCTGACAGACGACTGAACTCCGGGTCAAGAGGTTGACGTGATCTTGAAAAATAAACGTGTCTTTAAAGTACACAGAAAGCCACAGGCGTGATCGACTTAATGGAAATCCTAAGAAATGAATCCACAAATCTTTTCAAGAAAACACCTTTTCCACGCACCCCCGCTCTTGCACGTGTGAGGTGCACGTGCTTGCTGAGCGTTCTGACGTTTGCATGAGTTAAACAGACCAAGTTAATTGCTACCGCTTTTTCTTCTTTTAATACCACAGTGAAATCATTCAAAAGCGGGTCTTTTTCAAGTGGACACTCTATCTTAGACAATGATGGCTATCCGCCTGATGTATTTAAAAAAAGATTTAACTAAATCCCTAGCCATAATGACACCTTTGATTTATTAATACACCTGAGTAATGCTATTCGTAGAAAAGACTGGGCTCAAAGTCTAAGAAGAAACAAGACGGCAGAGAAACGAAAACGACCTCGTTAGATTGCCTAAGTCAGCTTCAGTAGTATTGCTCAAATCATTGGTTTAAAATTTGAGCTTAAACCTTTTGAAGTAACTGCAGCAAAGAAATACTTAATTTACAAAGTTCTCGAGTTAGTTTGTTTTTGATGTTGTTGAGTGTGAAAATCCACCATGCCTCAGAAAAAACTGAAATAAACAGTTAAAATAAGTAAAATACTTAAGGCAAGAGAGAATCATCCCGACTGGGTTAAATGCTAAGTAGAAATGTACATGTACATAGAGTCCATTTTTGTGACGGAAACAATGTTCGTTGCATTGGAGTTTATGAGAGCTTCCGTGAAGTCGTGCCGGTTAAATCATTAAAACCACTTTCGGACCCGATTTAAAGGAAGTTTAGTTCCGGCTTGGAACTCTTTACCTTTTCCTGTTATGACCAGTCAGCGCGAACGAACAATAAACAATGTGAAAATTCATTTGCAGAATCTACCGCCACAGACAATGCCTTTTATGAGAAAAAAAGTCTTCAAAAGAAACTTTGAAATGCGACCGGTAAATGCATTTACGCTCACTCTCTTCGAGTGAATGGAATGCCAATTGGAATTGAGTTTTCGATTTAAAGAAAAAAGGACTATTGAGAGGGAGAGAGAAAGAGAGGGAAGATAAGAAAACACACTTGTAGCACCAGAATAAATATTTAAACAGTTAATGCCCAATGTGCACATGTGCGTGTCACGATGTTTTATCCGCTTACCAAGATTACCTCACGAACCGGAAACAGTCATGACGTGCCTGTCTACACCACATGTGTGAGTCTCAATTAAATTCGCTATGTGTTATCTTAGAATCTATGCGGCTGATATCTTAAGAAAACTCAGCTACAAAGTATGCTACTTCTATCATCAAACAATCTGAGGCAGAATCACAGCTGGAGTGCTTGGTTTTCTCGCTTTTATTTTTCCAACGGATACCTTTTATATAAAAATTAGTACACCAGGCAAGATTCAATCAATTTTGATGTCTGTAGTGAGAAATACAATCGAAAGTATGATGTAATCCGTTCGCGACGAGGCGTCGAAATCGTAAAAGAGCTTTTCAATCAAGTGATTATGAATTGGAGACGGTTTCATTGTGACAAAGTTGCAGGTCACGGGGTAGGCCGGCTTCTGTCATTAAGTAGTTGTGTATGTAGTATCACTGGTAAATACGTCAGTTAAACACCCGATATTTGTCGAAAATGAATATAGCTTAAAAAATAGGAAAACTTGGAAAATCATTTTCTAAGACAACCAGTCAATTTGAAGGCCTGCGGACCAACCGGGGAGTGAAGACAAAAAGGACTGGATTCGAATGAGTGTCAAAGTCGGGCCTAATGACCTTCTCTCTATCTCTGGTTTAATCAAAGCCACGAGGATTTGCTACCAAAGCTTTTGCTTCCCAGCTTATATTTGATCTCTTGGCCACCTCGTGTTTTGTGCGACAAGCACAATGTTAGACAAATTTGTTTCATAGCTGAGACGTGGCTGTCACGGAGCTTGAAATGTACGAGAGAGAACTCCCTCCCAGACAATTATTTTTTCGCTGTGGAATGCTTTTCGGTGAAATACCAACACAAAATGACACAATTTTTTTCCTGACCGATGGATCAAATGAACCGACCAGGTTCTAAACATATGCCCTGATCAAGTTCCTAATTCGTTTTTGGAGATTTTGAGTCTGCTCACAGTATGTTGTCTGTAATCACTTACGAAGTTTAGCATATTTGGTGTAATATAACCTAGTACAAACACAGTCAAGAATTCTGCCGTGTTGAAGGTTTCAATCTCCTCAGAAACCGAACACAGATATTTACTAAGTGTTCACTGAAACATTATCAGACTCGTCAAAACCTGATTATTCGTATTGAAGGCGAAATTCCCGGCTTAAGAACACAAATAATCTACGCGGGACCACTGTTTGCGGTTCTCTCTTGTGAAAAGCATTGCGAAAGCTGAGATATGTACTGCCCTTGCTGTTGTTTTGCTGCAATTAGTGTCATGAATCTTACGCATTGAAATCTGAGAAATAAACAGACTACTTTTATCCGCATCGATGCCTTCTTTGCCGAGTTTTATCTCTAGAAATTTATAAAGACATGGCCACTGAAATGGTTACGGCTTCCTCTTAAAAAATACCCTCGTCGGACAAACCATTTGAGTTATCTATTTAGAGGAACAATTTTCTGAATTGAGCGAAAGTAAAATAAATCTTACTAAGGAATAAAGCAATTTGATTAAAGGTTTAAACTATGACACCAATATTAATCTCCATGATACGTTTGTGAATACATGGATGGTGGGTTTGATTTCTTAGCGATGAAACTGTTGAAATGCTAGCGAAATGTTGGTTTTATTGTGTAACTCTTAAAATCGATTACGAAAAGATTATGTCAGAGCAGAGTGCACTGTGTTTCTTCTTGGAAGGGAAGAAGCAATTGCACTCAGGGAACTCACTGAAACCGATAAGGGCTCAAAGATCACTTAGCTTGCGCAAACCGAATGATTCAAACAACCAACCGATGGGAAACAAATAAACTGTTGTTGGCCTTAACACTAGTCTACATACACTAGATCATTCGCATACTTTCAAGATCTTTCTCGTAATAAAACAAACATCTGCTATAACGAGAAAATGAGAGTGGAAAATCCTTACCATAATTCTGATTGACTCTGGCTATTTCATCAAAAGCTGCTGTATGTTGTTTCGCCACAGGCGACATAAGCGATCTGCTGATCCAACTCGTCATTAGGATAAAGTAGAGCAAACCGTTAGGTACCAGCGCCATTGCTTTCACGCGTCGGATGCGGTATTTGGAAGATTCGTGCTCCAAATTCGCGGCTTTATGTAGAGCGCTGAGTGTACGTCACACGGGAAACGATGACTTATATCTATCCCTCTAAAAGGCGATGGCAGGTAGCAAATTACCTTGACAGGAAGCTCATAAAATGTAACACGTAACCGCGGGATATCGGGTGACAACATTCTAACCCCAGAGGACTGCGCTAACAATTTGAAAACTTTCGCGATCGTTGACAAATATAGTGTGAAGTTTAAAGTCTTTTTCCTTTTAGTTTTTGCTTGTTTTGTATGCAATCAGAGTGGACAAGAATAACTCCCAGAATTTTTGAAATGCTTAGTGAAAGAGTTTTGTTTTCTCAACATGAGACTTTCGGTACCTTCTGTTACGTTCTTATGCGGTACTCAAACTTCTCAACGCTGGAACAAACAAAAAAAGTTTTTTCAGGATAACTGAACTGACTATATTTTGAGTGCAGCGGGAGATAATATTTGTTTCAGAAAATGGCTGAAACAATCTCTTTAACTTTACTGGTGATAAACTAATGAAATGATTCAAGAGGCAAAAATGACGCAAACTTGTTTGGTTTCATCAATACGTCCAGAACCTGTAGTAGCAAATCTTACATATTATATTGTTTTTAACTACAATCTGTCACTCTTGGCATTTGGGCTGAGTGCGGAAGCGAAACTTAAGACAATTTGTTGGATCAACAACCTCTCTACCCTGAATTCTTTTCTATATAAATTAATGGGATCACCTCGACAATGTTTTAAAAAAGTTTATCGTTCTAGTATTTGTTTTGTCCTGTTTGTATACGAATAATCCTAATGGCATGAATGGTAGAAAGATTTGATAAATGTTCCTCCTTATCTCCAACAAAGAGACTTTTGCTGAATCAATGTTACATTCTTGTGGTCCATATTTCGAGCAAACTCGATTGAAATTCAGCGTCTTCACGAAAATAAGTAGGAAACAAAATGATGTATTGTAACTTCGCAACTTATTATTCTTTCAGTCCGCAGATGTTGCCTTTTTCATTATTTTTTTGATCTTTAACCTTTCAGTGTCTACATGAGAAGTTTCATATTTGAGTGCTAAAGAAGCTTTGCAGTAGGAAGTTCCTTGACCCAGCATACGTTTCTCAAGGTGAATATCACACGTGTTAAGCAAAGAAAACCATTACAAATGCCTCCTTTTTCCTCAGCACGTGCTTAAATGAACACGTGAGCCATACACGTGTTCATTTCTCTTTTCCTTCTATTTTGTGTTCATATATAAGTATTAAGTACGTGATTCCCCCTTATGCTGACTCATAAAGGCCGGGTTTGCCTTTGAGAGGCATTGGCCCGCCCAAAATTGTCCTTTTCTCTCTTTTTTTCCAGAAAGAAAAATGGGTTTCATTGGGTAAATACGAAGGACAGCCTATCTGTTGGGTGTTGAAGTTTGATGGCAGAGATGAAATAACCGCAGACATTATAAAACCACAAATGTCAAGCAGGAAGAGTGAGAGATTGCTTCGCCACTCTGTCATCTTCACCGAGCGTGGAGGACATCTCTGATTAAACGAACGTGACAAAAACAAGAGCATTAACCAGAATACAACCTATGATTTCCGGTTCCTCTGTATTTCTCGTGAAAGCAAATGAATGAGTAACTTTCACACTCAAAGTAATATTACTCGCTTCAAAGGAATATGAATCAATGCAGGAGAATTTGACGAATTGTTCTTGGTGAGGGAGGTCATCTTAGCAGGACTCCTTTCCAATTTACGCCGTGAAAACTGGGCTAGACTCCAGGAGTCGGCGCCGGGTGACACTTTACCAGAGATTTCGCCCAATTTCGATATTCATTTAAATATCTTTGACAGTAAATGTGTCCCAGAATAGTAAAGTTATTTTCTTCATTTCAAGATAAAAATATCCATATTTATTTGTAAATTTGTCAATCCACGTTTAATGGGACATGATAAAATTTGTTGCACCGAATCTTCCTCCGCTGGTGTTGTGACATTCACTGGATGTTATAATCATAAATGTTGAAACTCTATTACGACACTTCGACAACGAAACAGTTTCTTCAAAGTTTTTTCTTTTCAAGGAAATTATAGCATTTTTGTTTGAAGTTTTACGGTAAACAATGAAATATAACCCAGATTTGGAAGCATAAAAGAAACAAAAAAACCTTCATTGGACGTGAAATAATTCTCTACGTTCGGGTGTTAATTCCGCCTTTAAAAATTGAGGTTGTCCTCAAACCAGCCATGTGGGTAGGGTAACGATTCCGATCCAATGCGATGTTTTAAATTCTCATGATTTACTTTCCGGTCTATTTGTGGGCAAAAATATCTACCATTTCACAAGGATTTCTACTTTTAACCCTTTCACTCCCAAGATCTCATCAGTAATTCTCCTTACTATCTGCCATACAATTCTTAGGATGTTAGTTTGGAGAATTTGGTGATGTATCAACTAAAAATCCCCGCTATTTCTTTATTCTCATCACTTGTCTGCTTGATATTGCATCAAACTTTAAAGAGAAATTCTCTCTTGGTCACTCATGGGTGTTAGAGGGTTAACTTTCTGATGCGATGTTTACTGCGACGCGCAAATTATCGTCAGCTTTAAGGAAACCACAAAATATTCGATCGGTGAGATGGGAAACTTGCCATGGTAGGAGTACACCAAACAGGAACGAAGCTGATGCAGAAAGACTGACACAAACTGAACACGACAGACCGAAGAAAAAATCCAATGGACATTGGATCTGTTTGCCGACATAATTGAGACGACTTTGTAACAATAAGGGAATCAAAAGTTGGAATTTATGACGGAATTTGTTACCACACTGAACAGAACTAATACGGAATACTTCGGCTAGCACTCCTTTACCTGTAAATTCCCTTTTAATCACAAGTTGATGCTGGTAAAAAAAAACGGGAAAATACGAAAAGGCGTATTCACCCACATAAATGGCGAATCAGTCCGCAAACGTCGCCGCTGGATTATAAACTTTCTGTATCAGGAAATTCCTTGAGGCTGAAAAAGCGATGGGTGTGTGTAAAACGCCTTTTGTCTCATCGAAAGAAGACCTTTGTGACGCTCATTGACTTTCCCCCTTTGGTTAAGTTTCACGACACTGAATTTCGAGAAAATGGGAGGTAACCATCCAACGAGAATTGAATTTTGCTGAGTTTGGCTGAACTAAGTTTACCGTACTATTACTGATTCACTTGTTCGATTTCACTCGTAGCTCGGAATCAAATCTTCATTTTGCGCGGAAGACTTCGATAAGTCATTTGGATTTAAGATGGATTATTTCCAAGTTTCGAATATATTTTCATCAAAAGTTTTCATTTTAAAAATTTTTAGGTAAAAAATGATAAAATTTACACTCGCGGAAACAACAAACGCGGTTCAAAGGAAGCCTCATTTGAAAACAAAAGGCAGGAATCAGGAAAGAAAACAGTGATCTAGAAAAGCCGAAATTTAAAATCCGATAAAAAGGTAGTAAGATTAATTTAAATCCGAGTTCAGCGTCTGTTTTTGTCGGTTGTTGTTGTTGATTTCCACGAGTCTGTCGCTGCTTGTGTGTGTAATAAGAGGTCGAGACGTTAAAAATGTACCTAATCGCATTCTTTCGTTTGCATTTAAAAGGATCTATTTTCATCACCAAAACCCGAATCAGCCTCTGTCTTTTTTATCTTTAACCTTCTTTCCGTGTTTGAAGCTATATCATCCTGCAACTGCAACTGAAGTGTCGCAGACTTGCATTCGTGTCCCAGGCCTGCATTCGTTTCCCACGATCCATTTCATTTATGGATCTGACGATAGCATGGATAAGTGTTCTTAATATTTATCAAAGATTAGTTGCCGAGGAAACAATCATTGCCGCCACATTTCACCTACGTTACCCTAAGTTATTCGAATCAAGCATATTTAGGGGTGTTTCCGTTTTCCTTCCTTTTCGGCGCACGTGTGTGTAGGTGTCTTTTGCTTACACTGAATCATGCAATCTCCAGCCAACCTTAAACTTATCAGTCGTAATTTAAAAATTATGTTCGATGCACTGCGAGTTCTTCTTTTATTCGCTTTTTTCTTGTTTTTATTTTTAACAGAGAGGATTAGCCTGCTTTCATGGGTGAAAAACCATCCCTTTGTCGGTTGTTATTGTCTGGGTAAAAACGAAAAAAAGGATCAACCAACAAGGTGTCCAAATGTTGTTTATCTGCTTCGATGGAGAGGATAGCTCTGATTTCACATATGTAGCTAAAGCGATATTTTCTCAGAGAGAACCGAAAGGAACGGTTAATTTCCAGCTTGTTTTTGGATTTTCCAGCGATTGCCTCTTTCAAAATCAAAAAGGCATTGTAGAAATAATTTGATTCTTTTATCACGAATACAAACCTTTGTGACAGACAACGAAAGTGTCATGTGTTTAAGTAGAATTAAGAATGGATGGTAAAGTTCAAACTCGGTCGACGAGTTTATTGATGTAGTCTCTTGAGTGGGATGAAAAAAAATTTTGAGCCTCCTACGAAGAAACAAACCCCAGACATAAGCAGTGACCGCGGAATCCGAAGATTGGACGAATTAAAAACCTGACGACTAGGACTCTTTTTATAACCATATACAGATATACGAGTTAAGAAAAAAAATACCGAATAAAAGAGCATGGTTAGTGATAGAGAGACTGGGACGAATTGCAAGTCATAAGATACGACAGCGCTGTTCCTTTTTGGCATATAGACAAACTTTTTTCCCTTATCACACCTCAATTATCACAGATAGAAGAAATTTTGGTGTGTAGCATCGCTGAGTATTTTAACTCGTTGTTTGTATTTTGACTCACCCTGCGGGCTTGTCAAAATAAGACAACCTAAAAATACATAGCCATGATACACACCAAAACGTCTAATAAGATATTTATTACTCAAGAATTTCATTTTGTTGAGGAGCTCGCATTTCCATAACTAAGAGATTATAAGTCTAAATCCACCTGGCTGAGAAACGTTTTTATGGCGACATTGTCTCTGGAAGGGTTGAATATTTTTATGGCTATGGTTTTATCGAACATTTCTCGCCAGATCAAATATGACAAATAGCTTTTGAGATTTCGAGCGCCGGTGGTGTGGGGTTGATAGATTATGAACTTTTTACGTGACAGAGGTGAAGCAAAAAAATAACTTTAAAAGCTTAATTAGCAGGCTCCTAATGAAGCTTTCCAAATTATGCGGAGAAAACTTTGGCCTGTCAAATTTCATTTTATGACGTTGATGCATCTTAGACTCAACGCGCTCAGTACATGATTGAAGATTTAAGTTCCTTGATCACACCCGCGAAGAGAGAAAAAATAGGAGCTCCATGGTTTGACCTGGTTAAATTTATATTCTAAGTGATATTATGTTATGCATGTAAATGAAATTTCTTTATTGAACTACTAATTAAAATATTTTAAAAATACAATTTAAACAAAGCAACCAAAAAATAAGACAAACTAAAGTAAGTCTTCATGACGATAACTCTCGTCTTGTCGTGAAAATCCATAGGTACTACTCAACGTCTGAAAATAAGAAATGAAAAAAAAAAAAAAAAAGACAATCAATGTATTGTCAGCCAAAGATAAAAGGAAATATTTCGTGCGAAGTTTACTGCAATTGAGTCGCAATTTTTTGGCGCGACCTCAATTTCACCATACTCGTAGGTGGGTGATTTCGAGGAGATTTCTTTGATAACGTTACTTAAGTCTCCTTGAGAGTTTCGGAATCTGAAGAAGCTTTAAAGACTCTTTTTTATTTGTTGAAACGTTTCTTCAAGTTTAGAGTGAGTGGATGGCAGTTTTTTTGCGCTTCAGCAATCCTCGCGGCTCCGATGCTTGACACTTCAAAGTGCTTACAAAATCGGTAGCAAAACAGGCTATTTCAGTTTGCCCTTTGAAACTGCCAAGAATCCGTCGATCGCTAAATTTCGTAATCGCACTTCATTCTCATTGAATAAACGGATTTTTAAACAGATTTTTTTTCTGAAACTGAAAAGTTATGAAATATCAATTTAGGCTTACCTCACCCATGAAAGATGTCGACGAACTACTAGAACCTTACATGATTGGTTTGAAGATTTCCAGAATCAATCGAGGTTTTAATTTCTTATACTAATAAACTCTTAGTAATCCTTCTAGAAAAGAACGCAGTGGCATGACCTGATGACATTGTTAAATCTTACTCTGTTCCTTGAGCTTTCTTCACTTTGGGTCTGTGCCAAATCTCTTTTTTTTTTTTCTTTGAGCTTCCCCTCCCCTCCCCTCCCCCCCCTGCTTATGATATAAACATGGCTGATAGAATGTCACATTTAATGATTACCTGATGAATCTATAAGCACCAAATAACACAACAGCTAATGCACTGCATCCAATTGCAGCCTTAGTATAGTCTTTACATTGCCATTTTCTGCGTGACTTAGCTTCCCTCTCCAAACTTTCACGTAATAGTAGCTCCTCGACTCTGAATTGTCCATACGAAAGAGTCGGAGCTGACTGTGCGTAGTCAGTCATGAATCCACCAAACTCTTCAATTTCCGCAGCAGTCTCTATTGTTTCATTCATTGGAACGTTTGGCTCGTCTTGGAAATGACTGTCTCTTGTTTCTATGTCTTCGTGTACAATGCAAATTTGTTCTTCCTCTCTCTCTCTCAGCTCCTCGGACAATCTTTGAAAGTCATCTGTAAGGCCTCCCGCCAGCATGTAATGAGCTTTAAGTGTGCGCTTCATCTCTTCCGCAGTTTCATTCGAAAACAACGCACTTTCTCCTTCAAATTTCATTTGTATGGCTTCTTCGTATCCTCCAAGAGGCAAACGAAGCGGCTTCTTACTCTCCGCAAATAAATTTTTTATCTTTGAACAAACTGAGTCTTCCCAATCTTCATCAACCTCACTCCTTTCAACGCAGGGCACACACATCGACAAAATCATCTCGGTAATGTCCTCTACACGTTCCTTTGGTGTATTAAACGTCTTTAATTCAGCTTCCGCGTGTTGTTTCAATATTTTCAATGGCTCAATCTTGCACACCATGGACTCCGTACTCTTATCCAAGTTTCCTGCAAATAGGAAAGAATCGCATGGTTTTCATCTGGTTTCATCCATTTTTTATGCTTGAATCTAAGCGCATACCTTGTAGTGCTTTGGCCGTGCATAAGAATATCACTCAATCTTTAACGAAACGTGACTACGAAAAATCATTTATTGGACCACATATGGAAAAAGTTGATAATCTTATATTTGCAATTTTATCAATTTCGTTGCGCGTAATATATTGATGTGCATTAAATATATTTTACCTGTCACCAGGACATCTTGTAACGGGTTAAATCCTTCTACTGTGCCTGCTATGATGTTTTGCACTGTGTAAACAGGTCCAAGCTTGAAGGACTCGAAGGAAAAAAATCGCTGAGCGCATGTTTCTACGGACACTGAAACGAAAAAAGATTAAAGAAAATGTGGTGTATTTCTGCAGTGCGTCTGTTTAGTAATAGATCACAGATGACGTCAAAGTATGAACAAAAAAGTGGCACACGAAGTGCAGTCAGAAGTGTCACCGATGTTCTTACCACATTTTGACCTCTCATCCGAAGCATATGGGCGTGAAATAAATAATGTCAGCTTCCGGGTCTAAAAAACCGTCTTAGAAGTATAGGATATAGGCTAACCTGTACCCAGGTTTACTTATGAATTGAGAGAGGCGCTGTGAGATTAAAAATAAAGAGGAAGTCTTTATTTTACGTTAGTTTTAGTATCCACAAATGGACATGCAAAATCCTAGATAGATCAACGACTAGGAGAAGCACTAAAAAAAAACTCACACATGTTGTGTAGAATGACCCAAATCAACATTTCCAGTTTGTGGCTGTTTAGTTTCGTGAAGATTCCATGTATGGTTCCCATCGGTACACGGTTTTTATCGAGCTTCAAAGACATCGCAACCGCAGTCTTACGTGCTACGAAAGAAAACCACTGTTATGTATGTAACGATGAGTCTAGGTCAAAAAAGCTTATTTAAATACTCCAACATAAACCGAGCAGTTACATGTTCGACAGCCACAAAATAACTGACAATTCGTAGAGCGCTCATTGGGATTAGTTCGCGTAAACGTGCGTATGTCCGCCGCTTATAATGATAGCCCGGTAATTTATGCCTGCATACTTCCAACAGTATTTTGTCACAATGTAAAATTTTCATCGCCAACAATTGGCATGATGCTGTGGCATCTATCCTTTTGAAACAGCCTGAAGGTAAAGTCAATGATACTTTTTCATTAATTAAGGGGCTAAGTTTTGAAAGAAACTGTGGTGCTGAGACGGTGGAGAGCATTACAAGACAGTTTGGTTTAATCAACTCAGAGTTGATAATGTTCATTGGCCACCGTAAAGAGTTTCTGCAGCTGATATTTCGAGCATTAGCTCTAAGGAAAACGTCAGTCTCAGAAACTCTTCACGATGGCCGGTTAACGTCATCAAATCGGTTGTTAAAACCAAATTATCTACTTTTTTATGGGTGACTGACTGACTAACAGAATGACCGCCAAACTGACTGACTGGCTGACTGACCAACTGACTCATTGATTGTTGACTGATTGACAGTCTGGTTAGCCAACTGACCGATTGACTTATCAACCTTCTGATTGGCTGAACGCATGAATGACAATAGAATTGAATGTTTCATTCGTCTTGTTTACGTTGGAGTGTAGCGATATTAAAACAATACAAAAGCTTTTATTGCAATTTGAATTTCAAAATAGTAATAACGCCGAGAGGAACCAATCATAGATAACACAAGGTGTGTTACAAGGTGCAGTCTCACTTACCTACAGAATTCTTTATCATTTGTTCAAGTGCATCCATGACTTCTTCGTTGAAGCGATTCCCAACGTCATGTTTTGAATTTCCACCATGACAAACATCAGAAGGTTTCACTTTCCTTCGACTGATTACATTCGTGATAATCACATGCATTACACACAAACTCCAAAGGAGAGTCTGAATGAGGATTTCAGTTTCAGCTGCTCTTTCAAAATCAAACAATCCTGGAAAAAGATCGAAGTTTTCAAATGAATATTGAAATAAAGGTGTTAAAAAGAATGGGGTAATAAATGGAATGTTTAGAGAAAGGACTTTTAAAATTTGAGGTGTGTTTTTCAATGGTTGTTGTACTAAAACTCCAAAACATACTTCCGCAAAATCTATTTTTCTACGATATCTACTGGATATATTAATTGGATCAACTAAATACATTGATTGAATTTTGATAAGACGCGCACAATTTTACGAATTTCCAGCCAAACCAGTCAAATTTGAAGACGAGTATGCTTTTGTCTCCGAGAATTATCGAAATAGTTTTTACATGTACACAAATTCCGTCAGAATTGTGGACATTGTCTAAGTGGTAAAGCATCCAAAGTACTGATCAGAAGCTCGTGCGTTCGGCTCCTATTGAGAGCAGTTGGTTTATATTTCTCCGAGTATCCCGGCGCCATTCACTGAATACCTTCATTTTTCATTGTCCCGGAATTTTAACTGATCTGGCGGGATGATTGTGATTATTGAGGAAATTATCTTTGTCAATGGAATGTTGTGATCGATAACTTGAAACGAGAAATACTTTATATATGCTAACCTCAGGAAGCTACATAAAAGTGCAAAGTTGTGATTCAACATGAAAACGCGGTTAAAACAATTAATGCCGTGGTTGCTTTTTTTGTTTAACTGTTCTTAGTCTACATTTCCAAATTTCTCAGTTATTCCCATTTTTCAAAAAGATATATTTGCGAGGTTATTTGGAATTTTAATAGTTTTGGTAACCACCACAAACAATCTCTAAGGCAAGATGAAGAGATGTAGTAAACTTGGCGCCCGTTGATCGTTTAACGAAGTCTGTTATACTGGGAAATTATGTTGAAAGATTAATTATCTCTGTCAAATAAATCTCAACTTTTGTTATTTCTATCACTGTATGAATTATTTAAAAGGCATCCTTCTTAAAAAAAACCAAACGAGCCGCAAGAAATCATGTTACATGAGAAGCGCTCCTTTTCAATTACCTTTGGATTTCTTCTCGGATAGTCTGAATCCAACAATTGATTTCTCATCGCATGATAGCGGTGCCAACAGGATGCACAGTAAAATTTCAACGCACGATTTCATCTTCGCAAATCCACGCGGATGAAACAGGACAAAATTTTCTTAACTGATAATCCATTATCCTTTATTACGTTATAAGCGTTTGGCTTTGCGCGCGCGCGCGCGCTTTTATCGAAAAACTGAAGCTACTTTACATAATAATTAACAGCTAGTCGCCGAAGTGGAGGATATTTCCCATTCTGCGAAGCGACGAGGTAAATTTCCACAGCTAGCCACCGGTACTGAGTTGAATAGTAATTTTACTGTATATTATAACAGTGAGATATTATAGAGAAAAAAGATTATTATGAACTCCTTCACTCCTGCAAAGATTTCAAATGAATAACAAAGGATATTCGGAGTTTGAGTAGCCAATCAAAAGGCGCCTTCAACGTCATTTTCTATTTTAGTATACACTAATTGTGGATATAGTCTACATTTTTAAAAAAAGTTTAATAGTCTCAATTTATGATACATTTGTACAAAAAGCGATGATTTTTTCAACGTTTTCTTTTTATCGAAAGGTAGTACGTATTGAATTTGGTTTCTTTTACTTTAAAAGGCGCCTCTCGCTGACGCTTTCATTCCTCGAATTAATGCGCCTGTATCTGCACAGAAAATAAACTTTCATCAAGGTCTTCACTTCCTTCTCCTTGTAGCTTCCACGACTTTCCTCGAGAATCAACACTCGATTGGTAAATGTTACTTCAGTTGGAGACCTTATGTGCCTGCTTCCACAGCTTCCCACGGGTATCTTAAAACGGACATGCTCGTTGTCAACATGGGATGGTTTGCAGAGCGGGTCATTGAGATGAATATGCATGCGTGCTATGTCAAGCCAGGGGAACCTGGAGCGATGCAGAGTGACGGTTGTAAATTGGGAGTCACATTTAGTCATAGCTGCTTCCTCATCAAAGATAACACCACGACGTGCTGCAAAGAAAAAAACATAATGAGGATCGAAAATGTAGTATGACCGCGCGCCGAAACGTGCCAATAACTGCAATCCAACACGTACAAATTTGGCCTCATCGCCTGAGGAAGGCTAGCAGTGTAATAGTCGAAACGTTGCGATCAATACAATTGAAAGCCTGAGTTTATCTCTAGTTTGAGAAACACGAAATGTCGTACAAAACCGGAACCTAACTATGATCCGATTCAATTGACTTGAACACCTACAATTATTTACCTGGAATTTTCATTTTTATCACATGCCTCTCGGTCTGTTTCCGGGCATCAGTTGCTTGGCACAAGTAACGCCCACTATCTTGAAACTGAGGCTTTAACACGTAGCTCAACACCCTCCCTTGCGCACGCGCTATCACCACGTTGCGCCTGCTGATGCTGACCTGTATCGGGGGCTCACCTCCGTGAAAAAAACATTTTAACTTGATTGGAATGCCGAGTGGGGCAAATATTGTGTGTGCACTGGACAGTAATAAGTCAGTAGAAAGCGGCTCTGGAAAGAAAAGAAGAAAGGATAAGGTAAGTATTCAAAATTTTCTTGCGAAAGACGATGTTATTCCGTGAATGACACAAGCGAACTTGTAATAATAGATCCGAGTGTTCCCGAACCTTCGACCTTCCAATAAGTAGTTCAGATGCTCTACTGTTGAGCTATAAGAGATTCGTGGCAAGCTAGGCCACTTAAATTGTCTTGTTCACTATTTTGATGTCTTTTAATTACAATCCGGAGACCAAGACTCAACAAGAGTCTGTCCCAAGTGGTGTTAAGGTATCATTACAATTTTTGTCAAACCTTACATAGCCAAGTAGGGGTCATGCGTGCATTACATTCTTATGCTAGTTTTTGTCGGTGGGATTGATTGTTTTTTTGATGGTAACTCACCAAGAGGTTTAAACACTGGCTTTCCAGCTGAACGGGTTATTTCATGACGACAGAGGAACGGAAAGTACACATCCGGTAAATATGTGACTCTGAATCCTTTTGGTCTCCGCACTCGGGCAATAACTACGTTACGAGACTCCAACACAAACTTATTCCTCCTCACTGTCCTTGTGCCGCAACTAAAGAGTGGAGCCTGGATTCTAATTATCATGTCCGTCGCGTTGTACGTGTTGCAATTTAATTGGACAAGACTAATGTGAAATTTTTCTGGCTGTAGCCATGGATACACGAGTCTGCTTAGAGAGATGTCAATGGTATTTGTCTTACACTTGACTGTTAGACCGTCCGATTTCATATCACGAGGCCCTAGGATGAAAAAGTGCATAAGGAGCCGGTCATTATTTATCGTCTGGAGGGGGATGGGGGGGGAGGGGTAGAGGATTTTGATTGTTCCACTCCATAAGGCTCTGTTATATTCTTTTGTCCCCCCCCCTCCAATTGGCAGGTAATCAGCATTCAATTTTCTATATTCCCTCTCCATGCTCTGTTAGCAACGACTGAACCCACTCCATTCTCCAGCGTCGAGGTTGTCAGTCTGTGAATGTCTCATTTTGTTCCGTGAGTACCTCAGAAATTCTGCTTAACGAAGACTTATTGAATAATTTTAAAATAACCAATTTATAATGAGTGGTATTCATGTAAGTAAATAGATAAATAAATTCGTAATATGTTAATAGTCAATAAGTTAGTTTGAAACAAAATTTTCAAAAGAGTCCTGGTAGAGTATGTCTTACAATAGAATAATACTATAAAGTAGTGACTCACAGACGCCGTTTTGACGACCTTTGTGTTAAACTTGATTTGCAGGGTTTTTCTTCCTTAATGACCGTTTAGACTGGTCACTCAGCCATCTATCTTTGCTTCCGGTATTTTAAAAGTTTCATCCCCTAAATTTCTTACCTGCTTTCCTCAAATGAATTTTATGCTTTATTTTCCTTGCCTTCGAATCTGTTGCTATACATTCGTAGGAACTAAAAACTTTGGTGTGAGTGGTCTTGATGGTAGCGTACAAAACTGTTCCCCTCACCACCACCCCGCGTATAACTCTTTTCCCTCTCCTGGTCAGTTTGATGTTGACCGGAGGGTTCCCACCCTTAAACGTACAAACCAGTCTGACGTCAAATCCTTTGTACGTTTTAACCACTGGTGGGCTACTCTTGGACTTGTCTACGGTCAGCGGTTCTATTAAAAAACGGAAGTGCATTACTCAATTTCAATAAATCATATTAAATTTTGTGAAACATTTCAGAGAATACATTTTTCGCAATATCACACGAAGCCGATAAAAAGCTGGAGATACAAGTTTGCTTAAGATTTCGTAGTTTTTTAGTGACTTAGATGCTAAATAACGTATATATATCTTTAGCAGTACTCCTCTGCAGTCATTGTCAACCTTGAGATGAAAATTATCGTCAAGACTTGATTGACAAAGGCCTTAAGATGAACGTTAAAAAAAGCATATTGACAGTCCTTTTTTTCAAGCAGTCCTTACCACATTACTGACTAATTTATTCGACTCTAAGTGCAGCCTTTGTCTCTTTCTCGTTCGATATTTTGTCTTCCCTGAGTGGGGAAGAGAGTGTGTTGCGTGACAAGACCAGACAACGGCTGCTTAAGATACTAGTGAACACTTGGTGAAGATATGATAAGCATGCGAGCAATCTTTTATTGACATTGGTACACGATAGCCGCGCGTTTCTGTCTAACCCAGACCCCGCTCAGAATTCTCCGCGACTCGGATTTCGCGGTTAATATTTCATTAAGCTAAAAAAGCTTTCGTACTAAGTAATTCATTACCTTTTGGAATATCTTTTGATGAAATCGATAATAATTTTCCATGATGAGGCTGACACTGAAAAGGGAATAGAACATCCGGGACCCTCGTTATTATTGTCCCTGGCTGGGGCCTTAACAATGCAATCAACGTGTTTCGATAGGTGACACCACTTGGCGAATTCCTTTTGACTGTTTTGCAGTTAACGTATTTTGTTTTCACTATGATATGTGTGAAGTTCACGTGATATGGTCGACAGTTGCTGTCGAGCAGATGCATATCAAAGTACTTGGTGGATACAAGTGACACTTCCTATACCACACAGAGAGATTTCCGCAGATTACCACTTCATTCTAAGCATATTATAGTAAGTAATTGGCATCAGGCCATCATTGGTTTTTTTCTCTCTTTTTTTTTTCCCTATTGAAGTGTTGCACATGCTTGAATCAGCGGTTTTGTGCTTCAGAGAGCGGAGATTTAGATCTGAATGAGTCACAATGATTCCTTTGGATTTTCTTCAAGATCTTATCCAGAAGGGAGTCCTCTTTCATTCCACCATACAGAGAGATTTCCGCAGATTACCACTTCATTCTAAGCATATTATAGTAAGTAATTGGCATCAGGCCATCATTGGTTTTTTTCTCTCTTTTTTTTTTCCCTATTGAAGTGTTGCACATGCTTGAATCAGCGGTTTTGTGCTTCAGAGAGCGGAGATTTAGATCTGAATGAGTCACAATGATTCCTTTGGATTTTCTTCAAGATCTTATCCAGAAGGGAGTCCTCTTTCATTCCACCATAGAAAATTACCCCCTCTACCTCTTTCGCTAAAGCTTGAGAAATCAGTACGCGCGAAATTGAGGTTGCGCATAATGCCGCTGCGCATCGGATCTTCAACCGCATGCCCAGCGCACGCGCTATCAAGTAACAAGAACCACCTGAAAGCCATTAAAGGATTACTGGACAATTAAGAGAAAATTAACAACATTCCTGCTGTTTAAGAAATCAAAAGCTACAGGGTAACAGCGCCATAACAATGCTGGCAGAAAATTCACTTCAACTTTCCGTGACCTTTCTGAAGTGAAATGATGAGGGAGGTATGTTTAAACGATGTAGGAATAATTGTTTCTTCCGTTAATTAGAGCACGTAAGAGTTGAAGGAGTCGTGCACAAAATCATTTGAAGCTGTGTTTTGTTTTCTTTCTCTTAAATCGTGGAAAAGCGAGTGCAAGTATTTGCTGAATTTTTTTCGCATGTTTATGTTAGACTTTAAACTCGAGCACAGACCTTGAAAAGACTGATGAAAAGCTTTTCAGCACAAAGATATGCAAATATTTTATAATTTCAAAAAACAAAACAAAACAAAAAAAAAAACAGTGTACTTTAAGTGTGTTGTTACAAGAAAACCATGCCACTTTCTGGCTTCATTCCTCGAAAAAGTTGTACATAAATGTATTTCACTTTTTTGCTATTGTAAGAGTCAAAAAATCGACAAAAGTTATTTAAGGTACAAAACAATCTTTTAAAATTGCGAGCCGTAGTCTTTCTATTTCTCCCGAGAACTCGTTGAAGTTTATTTTTAGACTGGCTCAAAGTCCTAGTTCGAAAACAAATGACCTGCCAACAAACATTTGTAATACATCGAATGGAGAACTTTGCAAAAGTGGGTTACGTGATTAAACGTACATTTCTCATCTGTACATTTTGTTATCCATGTTCATTTCAGACATGAATTATCATTGAACATTATCGAGTTAATGTCAGCTATGAAGAATCGCCGGTTTCAAGTAGAGTAAAATTGAATGATGTCTGGCAATAAAAAGCCTCCTGTTATTTTATCTGAGGTGAATTTCTCACACTTCCCTCCCCGTCGCAATGAGTTCAGCTATCAGATCTTCATCAGAATTAATTAAATCTTAAGTCTTTGAGATTTCCTCACTGACGATAATCTGAGAGGGAGACTACGCTAAACCTAATGCACAACGTTATCAGGTGAAATATACCGGAAAACTTGGTGCTCATGTAAACAGACAGAAACAAATACCTTCCAGGGAAGAGACGTCACATAAGAAAAACAACATGAAGAAAAGAACCCATTTGCCGCATAATATACCGGCGGACATCCTGATACGAGATACTCGGTGTGTTGTGAGAAAGCTCTGCCTTGCAGGTTTGCTGCTCTCGTAATACGATAAATACTTTAGTTACATGATTAAAATGGAAACCGGTCCACGACATAGTTGGTTTGGATCCAATTTTTTCAGTAATCAGAGAAGAGAACAGAAAATCATTTCCGGTCGATGAAAGACGAGACAGCTTTAAGGAGGTCGCTCTTAATGTTTGTTGTTCCGGAAAGGTTAGGATGCTTTTTTGTAATGCGAACAAACTCTTCAGGGAGTACTTGAGGATTTCGCAGGTCACGCAAACTTCTAAATCTCTTTACTGTATGGCATGGACTGTTCCACTCGTTCAGTCAGTAAATCGGAGCGAAACAGTTAACGGCGAGTTAATGACGGCGGAGCGAAAGAGTACACGGCGTGATAAAAGCGGCCGAGCGAAAAAAGCAGATGGTTTGGGGTCGAGTTCATTTTCCTGACTGAACGCGTGAACATGCTGGTATAGCTCAATTAGATTCGCCATTCCCTGAGTACATCTTTTGTAAGTCTGACTGGTTAATGAAGCCGATTAATTTCTTTATCATACGTTTTTTTTTTTTTAATACTGTTGTATGTAAGTTGAAAGTTAATAAAGACATGATTGTTAACCACAAAAAAAAAACGTTTTATTGCGTGACCATGTACAAATTGAATAGCTTCTCAATCATTTTGGAATAACAGACCAATAAAAACCTCCTACTTAGTTATTGAGTCGCACTGTGTGAAAACAAAAGCAAAAGAATGAGTTAGGGGGCAGCACGTTTGTTTCCATCTTTCATTTGTGGCGTCTCCCAAAGAGTTTCCTTCACAAACTAAGCCAGCTGTTTAGAACATGCGTCCTTAGTTCTTATTCTTAACTCTTTTTTCCAAGCAACAATAGCTACGTCAAGATTTGAACTGAAGTGTTGTCGTTTTTAATCATAAAACTGAACTCTGATTTTGTTACCTTCTTTTAACGTTTCTTCATTTTTTTGCACGATTCAAACCTTGTTTTGCCCAAATGCGTGTGCAACAACTACCAACGACGGTGCATGCAAATAGATTCCATATTGCTGTGGGTCTCTTCGGTAATGGATCACAGACCGGACGTCAAAATGTGGTTAAAAAAAAAGTGGCATACGAGGCGCATCTGAGTGTCTGATGCTCTTATCACATTTTGACGTCCAGACTGTGATCTATTACTGAACAGACATACGGCAACATGGAACCTATTGGCATGCACCGTCGTTGGTGTGCGCAGTTTTCATCTAAGCGCCTGTCCTCCAACACATCATCAGTGGGAACCAATAAAAGTGCATCTAAAATATTGCATATGCATATTTTTGGCGGCAGTGCTCAAACAGTCCCGAAAGTACCAACAATACTGTGCAATCGTAACTGACTTAGATGTGGCGGATGACCCTCGGTACCTTCATGGATGTGTCGAACTGTGATACGCATCATCATCAAGCACCCGTGCGCAAGTACGTTTTACAATACATTTCGAATGTCAAGTTACAAAAGAAGGCATTTCTGTTTCCTGTAAGCCAAGTGAGAGACAAGCGAAGGTTTGTTAAGGACAGGGTGCAAAACCACAACGACGCAACAGAGTAGAAGTGGAGAAATGATCCTCGCAGGTGAGCTGAAATTCAGGGAATTGCGAGGGAAACATGACGAATTGCCGGGGGCGCGGTGAGGGAGGGGCAGGGGGGTATGGGGGATAATCTGAAATATACTTTCGATGGATAATGGAAATCATCCATGACCCTCTGACATTAGAAAATTGTGAGCCCCTGGGTGAGATTTTAATCGACTTCTTCCCCCTTCGCAAGTTCTAAACCATTGATTGAAAAGGAATCGGTTTCTGATCGTTTAATAAAATTCGTTGCCGTTATTCAAATGTAAGGATGTCCTTTGTGAAGGTCGAAATTTGAGTACGCCAACAAAATAGTCTCTGGTCAGTTGCAGGTAAAAACTTATCAAATAAATCGTAATACTGTTTTGAAACATCATAAAAAATTCTGAGATAAATACGGATTTAGCTGAGGATTGGAGACTAAAAGCTTGAAAACGAAACTTGGTTAAAGGTGCAAATAAAATCGTCAAAAGGTCATTCAAATATATATTCACAGTTCAAAAAGTATATCTCTTTAGGAATTGCGCATTAGATTTCTTTCCACGCTTCTCATTGTCAAATCGAAATCCTCTGCGGGACGTAAAATTGAAGTCTCTCGTTTGCTCAAATGAAGTATTTCTAGAGTCAAACTCTCCGTCGTGGAAAGACCTGTGCTTGAAATCTCTCTTGTGACGCGGGTTTTGGAATCTTCTGTCGTTTTTTTGATGTGAATTACTTCGGGCATTTATCGGTCGATTGTCGAAGTTGTCGTCAAGACTTTCCTCGCCTCGCCAATGCTGTTTTCCTTGCTGCAAAGAGGGAATTAAATAAATTCAATATACTATCCAATTTGCTGCAAAAAGAGGGGTTCAGTTGCGATCAGACATAACAAACCCAGCACGTATGAGTGGAGTTTCTGTCGAAGGGTCAGAGGTGTGAGTCCTCGTATGAGACTCCACTTTACTTTAGCTCACAATCGTAACAAGTGTTTGAAAAATTTCCTAGAAAATTGGTGCGTATGCATCAGATAACCAGCGAGCTTGCACACGGAAATAAAAGAAGGTTTGATTCTACTTACTTTCTCTACATCCCTTGCACCCGCCCAGAAAGAAAAATCACTTTAAAAGTCATGTCCCAACTTAATCCGAGTATTTTAACTGAGATGCACGATCGGCTGAATTCAAAAGGCAACAAGTTTAAATTTTTGCTGTTTGCTGTTTCCGTACTCCAATTCACTTTTTTGAGGTTTCTACTTTCAATCGAGACAGAGATTTCTGACTAGAACCGCCAAAGGGTTCATGGATGGAAAAGACGTCTCACCTTTTTCTTTTTCCTTCTATTTACTTGATATGGTTCCTCTGCCAGGCCATCCTCCGAGAGGTCGAGTTCTACAATCTCAACAAAACGCTGAAAAAATAAAATTAAGTTTGCAAAACGTAAGTGACATTTAAAACGAAAGAAGCAAAAACAAAAAGAGAAAAATCCAAATTAGGAATTTATTTCAAAAGTACTCTTCGCAGACGAAGTGAATATAGAGAGGGTATTACTTGACCACACGGAGATACGAAATTACTCTTCTCGTGTTGAAATATGTTTTAGC